CCCCCCCCCCCCCCGGTCATTTGCTAAATATTCCAGTTTCCAGTCTCTCATCAGCTGAAAACAATTATGGAAGATCGAATCGTAAATGGTAAGCGCTATCTCGTTCAGATGATTTGCTAATTTTGGATCAAACCCTTAACACAGAAGCTTATGCTTAACATTATTCAACAGTTATCCCAACCAGTTTACTCTGACAAATGATAGGTACCAGCAGTAGGTGCCCATGGGCTTCTGTAAGTGCCCAATGACTCATCAAAATCCTGGAAAGTACTAGAAAATGTTGCCAGCCTCCTTAAGACTTAGTGAGCAAAGGCAACAGCTCAAATTCAGGCCTGTGTTCAAGGTGATCGTTTTTAAGATCCCAAATTCGCAAGAACATGACTATATATTGCTTGCCTTTAATATCAAGTTCAAAATATCACAAAGATACAAAATACCTCATTTTAATAAAAATGACAACTGTTAGCATTATGTACAAATTTTCCTTAACTACACCATGTTACTAGAAATTTCACCTAGAGGTGATACTGTCATTTACGAGTTACAATGTATGCATGCATCTAAGAGCTGTATGATAATATGAACCTAAACTTAAACATAGCTTTCTTACAAAATCCTTTAATAAATCATTAGTTGCCAGAGTGATTTTTAGTCACATCTGTTCAACCACTGACCCCCCCCCGCCCAACTGCCCCCAAAAAAACCAACAAACAAAGAACATAGTTCCATTTGACACTCATCTGAAGAACAAAACTCCTATAATTTCTTACTTGCCTAATGGGATATTGCATTAGGTGACATTAGTTGACGAGATTTCTTTTGTACAGAAAACATTTGGTTACAAACTGATGTGAAATCCATTTGCTTGAGCAGCAAATATCAAACGTCTCAGGAACCATATAAACCTAGTTACTACCTGCTTACTCAATAGAGATCATGTTGTCATTATCACTAAAATTTAGTGATAACTATAGGTAAGTTCATTGAACTTGCTCTATAGTTGTCTAAATGGAGATGACTTTATGCAACAGTCCAGCTACACTGTTGACAAAATAGAGTTGGTTATTGCAATAATTCTACAAGTCCTTACTTCCCTAAATCAGTGTAGTTACATTCCTTGGACTGTTACACCCATAATTTATTGTTGCAGCAAGACGTCTTTTAGCAGCATTCATAATTTGAGTTGTCATGCAATGCTGCAGAGAAGCATTGCGTGACAGCCCACAGAATGCTTACGGATAGATGGTTGGAAACGGTTATTAAACATAATAATTTACACACAAAAAAATTCTTCCCATATTTTCATCAGTCCTGGTACCTGTTTCTCATTAATTTCAAAAATTCATACACATGAACCAAATGTTAACTACTGTACATTAAGCCATTGTAGAAAATGGCTTAAAATCACGGCCAATCATGATAAATACAAAGCAATCTAAATTTTTTTATAACTTACATACACAGCACAATTTGAATTAGATTCATACTTATTCTTTCTCAAGAATAAACATTGTAAACTACATAATACAAAAACATCCTACTGTGGGCACAGAAACTGTACAGCCAAACTTTTGCTACAGTAGCTGTACACCATTCCTTTCACCATGAATTAACAAGTAAGACAACATGTTCTTACATTTACATGTATGTCACTGGGATTCAAAGTTGTGTAAACAAATCATGCACCAGTAAATTACTCTACCACACTTCTGCATGAATCGCTGGGAATGACGTTACTGTGCCTGACAAGGTTGTAACTCTTTTGCACCTTCATAAAAATATATATATTTTTTAAGTTTCACATTTCACAGGCTAACCAGCAACCTTTTTTTTTTCTATTTCCATTTTTTGTATGAAATCAAAATGCTCAGAGACACTTCTGTTCATTATTTGAATTGATTACTTTGTTAACAGCAGTACTGTTCTCAGCTTTGAGCTGAACATCAGCTTGCAAGACCATTGGGTGTGAACAGGCCTCTGATATCTTAAGTCTTATTAACAAAAATCTACATTTTCAATAATAAAAAAATTATTACAAATAAAAGAAAACTTTTCATCAAGAAGGAAAGCTTTAAGCCAAAGGCAACTATAATAATGAAAAGCAATCTCATAGCCAAGAGTAAAGGAATGTCAGAGTTAACTTGTGTGCTTCTGGTTTCTAATAAATATCAGGGGTCCAGCTGAACTCGGCTACAAAAATTATTTTGGCCCTACCAAAAATCACGATAAATCTTGTCTCCACCAAAATTTCATTTTGGTAAAAGCATCTGCACTTAAAAGTAAAAATCCCATGGCATTTAACACCATCTGTTCATGAATGTAATCAATGTTTACCTTAAAGTGGATTTACAGATCTGCCAGTTCTGATGCTCGACTTAAATTTGACCTGCTCCGAGGCAAGAACTTTTGAAGTTTGGTTTGTCTTGACAAAATTTGGTAAGGCTGAAAATCACTGTCTACACTTCTAAAATGAAATAAACGACAGCTATTTTTGCAAAAGAAACAAAAATTTGCCTTGTGCAGATGGACCCTAATTTGTTTGAAACCAGAACCACTTTCATTAAAACAAAGAATTTTACCACATACATACCTTAGCAGGCTTATTCAGGTAGGTGAGTTGTGGATTACAATTTCACCACCCAAATTATGTGTGACAATATGCCACTATATGTAAACTACAGTTTATACATAAACTATAAGTTGGAATGAGAGAGCTCACAGTAGCTTTAGGACATGTCCCGCAAAATCAGAAAATCATTCATTACATGCATGAATACATGCAATAAAAAAAATAACAAACAAACAAACAAAAATAAAAAAAAGCTGCCTATTCTTGATTCCAACTTTTCATTTAATTACTAACAGTACCTGAAAATCAATTTATTAGCTGCAGTCTGTGGTAAAGTAGTTTATGGTGAGTAAGCAGGGGGTGGAAAGTCAGAAACACTGTCTGCAGGTAACATAGAATACATCAGCTCCAATTCGTCCACAGATTGAGTCCTCTCTCTCACACTATGTAAATAGCAATGCATAATTAAGCTAAAAAGAGTAGCCATTACTGACGAGCCTCCTGCTGCCACCACAAGATAGAAGCTGACATCAAATTTAACCTTTGCTGGATCTTTACTGTCCACTTCACCAACTGTTTCCAGTATCCGAGTAACCCAGTAAATGAGAAGGCTGCTGGTAACACACATCAAAACTGCAGAAAAGAAAGACATTATTATTGGTGATTCGGATGCTCACATTTAGAGGTTGTGAAATATTCAACAAATCATTTTATTTAAAAATTCTTGGTATAGTTCGATAGCCAGCTCTATAAGCTTTAATTTGTCAATATACATGTAGGGGTTTAGGTTTATACAGTTTAAACAGGACGCACTACATGGCTTGGAGGTGAGACACCTCAAAAGTATGTGATAACCTTAATTACTGTGGAATAAACAATTCTAGAGAACATTTGTGGGAGTGATCCACAAATCTGAATACACTAGAATAATTTATAACATGTATTCAAGGTCAAAAGTCTTACCTGACATGACATTTCCAACAGAATAATCTTTGACAACCTTAAGACATCTGTTCATTGTGCCACACAAATCTAGCAAACATGCAAACATGCTAAACACAATTCCAGCACAGCTCAGTGCAACAACCACTCGCAAGAGAAGAACAATGCTTTTTGTAAAACAGTATGAAGCTGTGAACAACAAATAAAAGAGAAATTACAAAAAATGCCAAAAAAACCCCACAAGTTAAAATGCACTTAGAATCACTATAATTTGAAATGCCCTGTGAATTTGCTCACTCTTAAGCCCTGGCCAGACAGACTCACAAGTAGATGTAAGTTGAAAACTTGAGTCTACTTACGACATCTGTTTGCCCTTGCGTGCACTTGTGTTGACTTGTGATGACTTGTGCTCACTTTGGTTGTGATCAAGTTGGTGCAAGTTTTTCATAGTTTGACCACCCAACCCAAGTCAACACAAAAGTTGATTGATGTTCGTTAACCTATTATTAGCCAAGGCGACTTGGGTGTGCTAGCAAGGAATCTTGTGAGTCCGTTTGGCCACCAGCAGAAGTCTCAAAACAAGTTCAACTTATGGCTCCTTGTGACTACTTGCAAGTCCATTTTGCCAGGGCTTTATGTACGGTCAAACCTACACGGACAACCTTGGGATTGTTCAAGATTCCACTTAACATTAATAGGAAACAAGGCCCAACAGAACATGCTACAATGTGAGTCAAATACTTATGAATGCTGCCAGAAAGAATACTGTTATGAGTACTGTAATACTGTGGAATAAACACTGTAGAATGAAAGAAAAGAAGACAATCCTCTAGCCAGACTGCTAAATCTACTGTACTAGCCTAGGTCAGTCTTTCAGACTGGTTATAAGCCCTGGGCTTTACAAAGTAAAGGAAGGTTTACATCTGGGGAGGACTACAACTGGAATAATCTTTTAATGAACATATAGATGAAATTGTGCAGATAGAGAAGGGCCTATAACTGGGGAGGGAGGGAGGGGGAGTTATAACCCTTGGGACCCTCACTAGTATCTGCTTAATACAGGGTGTCCACTCTAAGCAGGTTCTAATATGTTGTGCAATAATAGTTAATTGTTAACCCTTTTATAACTCAGTGTAACACAGAGTAAGATCAGAGACTGCTCATAGCACAATGTACAGTTGGTCAATGTATCAATCTGGAATAATCTACTTGGTATAAAATGGCATCGCTGAGCAATGTTAAAGGAGTCTGAGCTGAACTTTTAGAGGTAAAATGCCCATGAAGTCTCCACTTATTGCAGGTTCTGTGCCACAAAATGGCTTAATATTGGTGTCCATGTCTCAGTGCTTAATAGAGGTGTCCACTGAATGCAGGTTTATTTTACGGTAAATGTGGGAAGAAAATTTTGGGACTCAAGCTGGTGTCCACTAAAAAGATGGTGTCTGATCAATATGGAGTCCACTTAATGCAGGTTTCACTGTATTACAATTGGTAAAAAGTGTGTTGTGCAAGATGTCCAAGTGTTTATCTTGCAGTCCACACAAAACCACTTGCCCCTAGGCTTACATCTCACATTCACACACTAATAGTGAACCAAACAAATTCACAGTTAACTTCATTATCACATGCAATCATTTGGCTGTATCCAGGTAACACGAAGATGTATCCATATGTTGGATCGGGCTATTCATACTGTATGGGTCTGGAATTTGTTCAGTCCCATTACACCACTTTAACTTGTATTAATCAAATGCTGTGGAATCTGAACTTCTCGCGTATTCTGAACACAAACTTCTAAAATCACACCTGTGCACCGTAGTAAATAAAAGACCTTTTGCCAACCACACAAACCTGCATGTCTCAATTAAAAGTGATGTCATTGTTTGTGAACTGATATCACCGCTACACTTGCCACAGAGCAGCAGTATACAATACATATTCTTGCACCAGTTCTGAGAATTAGGTCTGGAAACGAAGTGGTGGATTACCCGACTTAACTGCTAATAATAATTTACTAGTAGCTCAGCCACATAATCATAACAGGCTGATCTATCGTAACCACAGTTACACTTCTGTCTAAAACATTATTCTTGGGTCTAAAAACAACCACCACATTTTCTACTATGACAGGAAGAGCTGGTCAACGGTATTTACAGAGCGCCCAATATCATTAATAATTTTCATACAAATGCAAAGTGCTTGTTCTGGTTAGGTTGTTCAACAACCTGCTTAATTAAGCACATGATGGTACAAGAAACGTGGTATACCATTTAACATTGACAGTTCCCCACGTGTTATAGCAAGTTGGAGAAAGGAAGTCTAAGCTTATTCGCATTACAAACTTATGGCACGAAAGAAAAACATCAAATTTCCGGGAAAAGAATTTTCTTTAGGCCGTCAACATAAGTTAATGCATATTATGAGTACCAATGAAATGGCTCAGAAATATCAAAAGAAGGTTTTCTTGATCCTGATTAGATTAAGCTTTCTTCGGCAATAAAGGCCGTGTATGCATGTTCAAGAAAAATGTAGAAGCAAAGAGCGATCAAATTGGTTCAAGACGTCATTAGAGCGCGTTACTGTAGCTATTATCTAGGTTTCGCACAACTCACCAAACGAAAACAAGAAATAGAAACACCAAACTTACTTAATTCCTCAGGATGTTTATAGGCAATGACTTTGTACATTCCAATGTACTTTCCTTCGCACTTTCCACCGACGATATGAAGCCATTTTGGTTCGGCTTCAGCGATTGCAAGAAGCACCGCCGATGCAAGAGCGAAAAATGCGGAAACAATGTTACGCTCGTATTCTGGTTTTGGGCGACGAGAACTCCTACGATTTCTGGGTCGTCGCCTTGAATAACTGCTCTGGTAGGGGAAATACAAAGGTCTCGGTAGCATTCCAACTCAACCACAGTAAAAATCCTTCGTTTCGTTTTCACCAGGAACAAAACAGACCAAAACAAGATGGCGTGAATGCGAGTGCACTGGGCTTGGACATTGAGTGAGCACATCAGTCACGTGACATGACCACAGGCATCCCACTAACATCACGCTCCACTCCGCTCCGCTGGCTTTCAGTTTCCCCATGAAGACTATGAAGATCATGAAGAACCTGCGAGGTGCTCGCAGTCTAGGGAATTGTTGTAACTGGTGACATTTTGCCGTATACCTTTTTTTGGTGTCCCGTAGACGGAAAGATACTTACGTAGTGGCCAGGAGTAATGGACAACTAGGGGCTGGACCTTGTGACTGACTGACCCACTTTTTATCTTCAACTGGAGCTGGAATGTAGCCAAGATGGCGGTGCAGAACAGAAACAAGTATTTGAGAACGTGACGGTCTTACGCTCCTACTGGCGTGACGAAGGAGATGATGATGATCATCATGATAGCATGTATGTTGTCCGTCTTGAGTGGCTGAAAATATCTCGAGCTCCCCTGTACACTGCAGCTCTTGTCATGTTCTCCCTTCGCCATCTCCTGAGCTATGTCGTGCTATAATGGTCTTTATTAAAAACTGGATCATTGGATGACGCAATTCAAGAGTTTTCACTGGCTTAGCCATCATGGGTTATATAAACAATAGTCTCCATTTGGCGCGAAAATATGCTCGGATATTTGTCCGCGGACATTATCTGTTCCGAGAAGCGAACAGTTTTCCAAGAGCTTGGCTCTCGGAAAACTGTTCGCTTCTCAGAACAGATAATGTCCGCGGACAAATATCCGAGCATATTTTCGCGCCAAATGGAGACTATTGTTTGTATATTTTCGCGCCAAGTGGAGGCTATTGTTTATTTATATGTATATACCATGCTCTACAAATGTGGTAAGCGTACCCGTGATTTTTGGGGGCGTTTTTCTTATTTTTTTTCTAGTTCAGTTTTCTATTTGTAACACAACTAAAGCAAAGCGCGCGCTCTGATTGGTTAATAAAGAATTGGTTCCTGCTTAGCATGCGTATCTCATACGTATATCAAGTTATCTTTAATCTTTAATCTTTAAATAAGTATACTCCTGAAACAGTGGAACTATACTAGGAGTTGAAAATAACATAATAAAAGCACGTAATAAATAATTACAATATATATATATACAGTAACAATTTTAAGTTAGTAAAAGGTAAAATAAAATAGATTAAGTATAATCTCGTCGAGATAAGTTAGGACGTCTGAATATACTTTATACAAAAGATTTAATGGCTGCAAGAGCAATAGTCTTACAGTAGTATGGATGCACGCGGGGAGTTTGGAGAGCACGAAAGAAGCGCAAGAGTTGCTGGAGGCGATAGAGTTGCTCGAGGTTATTTTTCAGAACACTTGCAGAATTAAGTCTCTCTTTCCTTACAAAGATCGTTTCAACCGCTCGTAGAAATCGAAGATTGTCTACAAAGTCAGTTGCTGGAACTGCCGAGTGTGATGCTTTCCACATTGGTAAAGCTAAAAGAAGATTGCATGGCAGAAAGACGGAGCACTTCAAAGCTCTTACTCAAATTGGTCACGCTTCCGCTGTTGCTGATTATTCAACCTCTACCGGTCACAACATCAAATGGGACCATTTCGAGATCTTAGCAAGTGGGCAGTGTGATTTACAAAGTAAAATCAAGGAAACATTGTTAATACGGGACTCTTTCTTTATTAATTCACACCGGATGTAGTTTCTTTTGTTCATTGTTGTCTAGCTAGTTACCAATACCTCGCTTTAGCTGCTGCGGAGCGAGCGGAGCGAGCGAGCAGCAACATAATCAGGATTTAAGAAGAATATATTGAAGGGGGTACGAATTCTCGAATTCATCACTTTTTACAAGAATGCATTGCATTTAACCAGAGTGCACTGCGCCACGAACAATAGGAGGATGTCTCACCGTCGACTCGTCGTCCTTTTTCGCGTGGATTTTATTGGTTATGTTTTGCTCTGATTTACCTGTAAAACGATGTGAAGGAGATCGTGCTTGACTTTCACAACTCCTGCTTTTGTCCTAATGCAGGATGTGAAACATCTGGACGATTAATTGTGACATCTTAATTTTAAACTTAGTATTTCATTTCTTAGTAGTCTCCCCTCCTTGGTCGAATTCTTAAATGAAGAGAAATCGTCGTTACTAAAGCTTGTAAAATAATTAAAACAAACGAAAATTGTAAAACACGAATCCAAACATGAAGTTAAGCTAAAGCTTTAGCATTTTCACGCATCGTAATGGTCGTGTCCTCGAACACAGTCTGTCAACATTCTAGAGACATTTAATTTAATGCGTACCAGTACAGAATTTATAAGTTAGATTTCTGCTCCTACAATTTTCACATCTTTCGATTTTCGCCATCTGGTAAAGGGGAGGTTGATGTGTATCTTTTTATTTCCAAACATAGTTCAGATCACTATCTACTTTTTTGTCACGATCCCTTGTCACACCTCGCCATTGATGCGTCATCATGCATGAAGTTGTAGATGAATCACCGCGTAAAATATGTCACTACCAACAAAATGTGCTGCCGTATCTTTTAGATACCCCAGTTTTAGCCTTTTTAAATTTTGTCATATTTTGTAACCATCACTTCTGAAGATGTGTGTTGTAACATACGAAACGTCAAGTTGAATATACCATGCGTAATCTATTTATTATGTTTGTTCCCACTGTTGGTTTTCTCTTTCTCCTGAAATTGAAATGGCCGAAAAACAGGAATTTTTATGATACAACTGGTTTACTTCTACACTTATAGTTTTGAGAGCTTTAACACTTATGGTAAGCTAACGATAAAAGTTTGAACTGACTGGGTTCTCTATCTCTAACTTCCGGCTTCGTTTTCTGTAATTTTCCAGATGACTTCTGTTAGAATTAGAGGAGACTCGGCAAGAGTGATCTGTTGGATATCCTGGACTGATGTTCCTGTTGTTCGCGATAGTTTCCATCCTTGTTTTCATCGATCGAAGAGAGCACATGGGAAACAGTGCATCTCATAGAGAGCTGCCTAATACAGAAAAGACTAAGTTTACAAAGAAAAGATGCAAGAGAGAGAGAGCATAAAATCAGACTGTGCATCTTAATTTTGCCATTCGCGCATAACTACAATTCCTTGCGCCTTTGATCTTACCGCTACCACAATTCCTTGCGCTTCGCAAAAACGTGTTCAAGGCCCCTACAATGTGACCTTTTCCCGATTAGAGAGCTGCCTCGTTCGTTCGCTTCAGGCTCACTCACTGGAGCAATAGCCTCCACTAGTGGCGTGGAAATATGCATGGATATTATCTGTTCCGAGAAGCAAACATTTTTTTGAGAGTCAAACTCGGGGAAAACTGTGAGCTTCGAGGAACAGATAATGTCCAAGGACAAATATCCGAGCATATTTTCGCGCCAAATGAAGGCTATTGTATTTATTATTTTTCAAATACTTTTCGCAACACACGCGGTTTTGAAAATTGGAGAATATCAATCGGATATTCCCCAGTTTTAGCTGGGGAATATTGAGTCACGTGACGCGTTTAGACCAATCGCGCGCGAGCAATTATTCCACCATGCTCTACAAATATGGCAAAGTGCGCGTGATTTTTTGTGGCGTTTTTATTTTTATTTTAGTTTAGTTTTCTATATTTTAGGGGCGTTTTTAATAAAACAATTATTCCACTCGCGCCTCGTTGACTATCTACCAGCTGATATCTAACGGCGCGCGCTTGTGGAATAATTGTTAATTGACTAACATATAGCAATAGGCATTTACATAGCATTGTGTTGCATAGTCAAAACATGGTCCATCAATCGCTATCACCTAGCTCCTCTTTACTTCCTTGTTGACTGCGGGAACTTCAGACCTCCTGGACACCTGCAACACAATATATTACAAAGAACATTGAATTTTTAGGAAATAGTAAAGAGTTTATTTTCTAAATTTACTAACTTGATTCTTTGGGTAAATCTTGGCTGTTTTTTTTTCTCCTAAAACAACATCTTGGGCACAATGAAAGGTGGGGGAAACTACAAAAGGGAAAAGGCGATTTAAAGCTGTGTTTCAATGAAACAAGCTCGCTTCGCTCGCTTAGTTATTGTACCCTGAATGTAATGAGGTCGACTTGTGGCAAGTCTATACCGAATTTGTTGGGGCGTAGGGACGGCTTTGCAGCAGCAGCGAAGGAGACTGGTACTGATTTACCGCTGTGTGTTTACATTTTCCCGAGGGCTCACAACTAAATAAACAGGATTGGAACTCGTGACAGTAATTGATAGTGCGTTGAAAAGGCGAGAGTGAAAGGCCAGAATTGTCACCGATTATACTGGTTTTCAACGAGTTTGTTTGGTGAAGTAGTAAGAGACATTTCGTAGTTCATTTGACGGGATATCTTCAGAATTCCTTGTTCAAGTGGACACAAATGTACGTTACTGTTTTTTCTGTGTGTGTGTTTTCTTTGTCAATGAAATTCATCAATAGCTCATCTGGGCTTAAAGCTTATATTCATATCTTAAATTACGATATATGCTTGAATACCTTAAAATTGTAAAGCTTCTGGTACGTTGGAATAACTGAATGTCTTGTGGTGAAGTGATTAACGCGGAAAAATCTGGAAAAATCAATACAACTCAGTTTTTGAATTGAATCTTCATTATCACGAAGTATCCAGGCAGATAGCAATTCGTATTGTTTTCTTTACACTGGCTGTAATACTTAATTTCATTTCGGTGCTTATTAAGCAGTTGCTATTATTTTTCAGTTCCTTTCAGAGCAATGCAATTTGTGCAAGATGCTGAGTTATCAGGAAAACGAAAGGTCGACCACTAGGTCTGACTCGTGATTTTATTTACCGGTAAGCAAGTTTTTTTAATTGTTGGCTAACTATATGGATTTATACGAGAACAATATCACTGAAACTAAAAAAAATAATGATGTTTCATCATCAAGCTTGAATTACAAACGAAGAATTTACCCAGTGGTTCATTGGCCCTCAAATCGACGACATATTTTCAGCCTTCAGAGATAAACTCGACCGCCCAGGAAGCGGAATCTTCATTAAATCCTTCTCCAGTTTGTCAAACAATGTGTCTAAATGTAATCTTTTAAAGTTTTTATACATGATCACATGATGTGCAAAAACCTCAGTCATGAATTTACCTTGCTCATCTAATACCTTCTGTGTTGAAGAAAAATGTATTGAAACCAGTAAGTATATCCTCACATAAACAGGGATTATTAGCCAGATATGTTCTTTAAGTTTCTTCTAGCTGGGATAAAACTCTGACGTGTGAAGTGGTTTTGAAACAACAATATGGGGGGTAATAAAATGACGAGGAATGACATGACGAGTTTATATTCAAGTTTTGATAGCAATGATATGTGAGGACCTTCCAAAATTACATTGTACGACACGAAAAAGTCTGAAATTCAGACTGGGGACACACATAACCCCCTTACTGTGCCATGTTCAGTGCATCACAGAGTAGATAAAGCTTGGCTAGAATTACACAGACCCTATTCAGCATCTACATGTGGCTTTCATTTTTCTTTTCACCAGGAAACACAATCCCAAATATTCTGGAATTGTTTGTTATAAATAAGAAAGAACAGGCAGAACTTCGAAGAGGAGTTCCTTTGTCTAGGTAACTCCTGGTTTGAAGTTTCGTTTGTACTTATTTAAAACATTTTGACCATTGTGTTAAGTGTTGATACCAACTTCCTTTTAGTCAGTGTGAATAGAATTATTTACATTCAGGTCTGCAAAGTGTTTGATGAATCACGCAACTTTTGATACCAAAGAAATTATGTCATGTTTTTCCATGATGTGTTCAGGCATAGATTTAACTGAAGGTAAAGTGCATTATCTGCTTGTTTTTTTCCTTAAAACATTTCTTAATAGCAAAGTCATTACAAGTCTTTCCAGTACTATAAATTGAATGTTTTCACAGAATATTAATGCTGGCAGTAATTGCTTTGGAAGGTTCCAGCTGTCAAGCATCATGGAATGACTTTAATCTATGTTTTTGTTGATCCACATAAAATGGAAATTTTTGGATGTACAGTTTCTGATCTTAATCAGAAAGGAATGCAAACTCATGAGCATACCAAAAGTGTTCATATCAGCTTTTTGCCACAAGAGTGAGTCTTGATCAAATACATTCATTTTGTACAAACCTGTGGACATAATTTGTTATTAGTAGTTTGAGAGTACGGACTGTTGTTTTCCTGTTGTTTGCGTTGCTGAGAAAAAGCATGGAAAAAATGTGAGCTTGCTAAGGGATGTCCATGATTTTGTTAACATTAGGATATTTATCGGAGGCCGCCAGGTACATGTTTTTCAACTGATAGATGTGACCATACTGAAATGTTGTTTCCGCAACTGGAAAGGAGGAGAGGTGTAAACTGACTCCTTTCTAGGATCACGTTGACCAGATGTGAACCTTACCCAGAGTTTAACAATTAAACAACCAGTGTTTGGTATATATATACATGTGCAGAGGTTTTCATAAAACATTTTCAGCCGAGGGGCAACTGGTTTTCACAGGTGAACAAAAGTTTTTTGAACTGAACTATGTTGTAAAAAAACTTTCCTCCAGATAGTCGTACCAGTTGGGGAAAATTACCCTCACAACCAGCAAATTTGCCAGGTGTCCAGCTCTTATTGAGACCCCAGGGTATATGTGTAGTTGCTGATCAGTTAATACTGGGTGTATTTTTAGCAAGGTTACCCTTTTTAGATGGTTAATCCTACTGGCAGTATGGGAGATATTGGAGATGTGTTGCTTTAATGTTAGTATGTTAGACTCCTAGAGAAACCTATCAAAATGCTCAAGGGTAACCTTCGACAGACTACATGTAGCATGTGTCATAGACAGCTGTATGTTTAAATACTTGTTAGTATATCTGGCCAAGGATACTTTCTGGTAGTTATGAGCCATCTGGCTTGTGAAGACATCTTAATTTCGGGGTAAACCCGTATATTCCCCTTACATCTTCCCTTTGTAGAAGAGATGTTTGAAAAGTGGCTGAGAGGATGCAGTGTACACTGTATCTCTGTATGTTGTGTTCATGCAGAATGAACCAAGCCAGCTGTGAAGTACTGGCAACCAGCCTTGAAATGACCTCTTTTCTATTCAAGTGACATTTACTATGTAAAGCTCAACAGTGAATTTAGCGATTGAAAGTAATATAACCATGAAATGATGAATTCCAATCAATGACACCAATGAAAATTTGTAACAAAAAATCAAATCATTTCATCCTCAAGCGAGCTTACTACAGCAATCTTAACCTTAATGCAAATTCTTGTGAACTTGGTGCTGAGTATTTTGTTTGATCATTTATNGCACTGCGCCACGAACAATAGGAGGATGTCTCACCGTCGACTCGTCGTCCTTTTTCGCGTGGATTTTATTGGTTATGTTTTGCTCTGATTTACCTGTAAAACGATGTGAAGGAGATCGTGCTTGACTTTCACAACTCCTGCTTTTGTCCTAATGCAGGATGTGAAACATCTGGACGATTAATTGTGACATCTTAATTTTAAACTTAGTATTTCATTTCTTAGTAGTCTCCCCTCCTTGGTCGAATTCTTAAATGAAGAGAAATCGTCGTTACTAAAGCTTGTAAAATAATTAAAACAAACGAAAATTGTAAAACACGAATCCAAACATGAAGTTAAGCTAAAGCTTTAGCATTTTCACGCATCGTAATGGTCGTGTCCTCGAACACAGTCTGTCAACATTCTAGAGACATTTAATTTAATGCGTACCAGTACAGAATTTATAAGTTAGATTTCTGCTCCTACAATTTTCACATCTTTCGATTTTCGCCATCTGGTAAAGGGGAGGTTGATGTGTATCTTTTTATTTCCAAACATAGTTCAGATCACTATCTACTTTTTTGTCACGATCCCTTGTCACACCTCGCCATTGATGCGTCATCATGCATGAAGTTGTAGATGAATCACCGCGTAAAATATGTCACTACCAACAAAATGTGCTGCCGTATCTTTTAGATACCCCAGTTTTAGCCTTTTTAAATTTTGTCATATTTTGTAACCATCACTTCTGAAGATGTGTGTTGTAACATACGAAACGTCAAGTTGAATATACCATGCGTAATCTATTTATTATGTTTGTTCCCACTGTTGGTTTTCTCTTTCTCCTGAAATTGAAATGGCCGAAAAACAGGAATTTTTATGATACAACTGGTTTACTTCTACACTTATAGTTTTGAGAGCTTTAACACTTATGGTAAGCTAACGATAAAAGTTTGAACTGACTGGGTTCTCTATCTCTAACTTCCGGCTTCGTTTTCTGTAATTTTCCAGATGACTTCTGTTAGAATTAGAGGAGACTCGGCAAGAGTGATCTGTTGGATATCCTGGACTGATGTTCCTGTTGTTCGCGATAGTTTCCATCCTTGTTTTCATCGATCGAAGAGAGCACATGGGAAACAGTGCATCTCATAGAGAGCTGCCTAATACAGAAAAGACTAAGTTTACAAAGAAAAGATGCAAGAGAGAGAGAGCATAAAATCAGACTGTGCATCTTAATTTTGCCATTCGCGCATAACTACAATTCCTTGCGCCTTTGATCTTACCGCTACCACAATTCCTTGCGCTTCGCAAAAACGTGTTCAAGGCCCCTACAATGTGACCTTTTCCCGATTAGAGAGCTGCCTCGTTCGTTCGCTTCAGGCTCACTCACTGGAGCAATAGCCTCCACTAGTGGCGTGGAAATATGCATGGATATTATCTGTTCCGAGAAGCAAACATTTTTTTGAGAGTCAAACTCGGGGAAAACTGTGAGCTTCGAGGAACAGATAATGTCCAAGGACAAATATCCGAGCATATTTTCGCGCCAAATGAAGGCTATTGTATTTATTATTTTTCAAATACTTTTCGCAACACACGCGGTTTTGAAAATTGGAGAATATCAATCGGATATTCCCCAGTTTTAGCTGGGGAATATTGAGTCACGTGACGCGTTTAGACCAATCGCGCGCGAGCAATTATTCCACCATGCTCTACAAATATGGCAAAGTGCGCGTGATTTTTTGTGGCGTTTTTATTTTTATTTTAGTTTAGTTTTCTATATTTTAGGGGCGTTTTTAATAAAACAATTATTCCACTCGCGCCTCGTTGACTATCTACCAGCTGATATCTAACGGCGCGCGCTTGTGGAATAATTGTTAATTGACTAACATATAGCAATAGGCATTTACATAGCATTGTGTTGCATAGTCAAAACATGGTCCATCAATCGCTATCACCTAGCTCCTCTTTACTTCCTTGTTGACTGCGGGAACTTCAGACCTCCTGGACACCTGCAACACAATATATTACAAAGAACATTGAATTTTTAGGAAATAGTAAAGAGTTTATTTTCTAAATTTACTAACTTGATTCTTTGGGTAAATCTTGGCTGTTTTTTTTTCTCCTAAAACAACATCTTGGGCACAATGAAAGGTGGGGGAAACTACAAAAGGGAAAAGGCGATTTAAAGCTGTGTTTCAATGAAACAAGCTCGCTTCGCTCGCTTAGTTATTGTACCCTGAATGTAATGAGGTCGACTTGTGGCAAGTCTATACCGAATTTGTTGGGGCGTAGGGACGGCTTTGCAGCAGCAGCGAAGGAGACTGGTACTGATTTACCGCTGTGTGTTTACATTTTCCCGAGGGCTCACAACTAAATAAACAGGATTGGAACTCGTGACAGTAATTGATAGTGCGTTGAAAAGGCGAGAGTGAAAGGCCAGAATTGTCACCGATTATACTGGTTTTCAACGAGTTTGTTTGGTGAAGTAGTAAGAGACATTTCGTAGTTCATTTGACGGGATATCTTCAGAATTCCTTGTTCAAGTGGACACAAATGTACGTTACTGTTTTTTCTGTGTGTGTGTTTTCTTTGTCAATGAAATTCATCAATAGCTCATCTGGGCTTAAAGCTTATATTCATATCTTAAATTACGATATATGCTTGAATACCTTAAAATTGTAAAGCTTCTGGTACGTTGGAATAACTGAATGTCTTGTGGTGAAGTGATTAACGCGGAAAAATCTGGAAAAATCAATACAACTCAGTTTTTGAATTGAATCTTCATTATCACGAAGTATCCAGGCAGATAGCAATTCGTATTGTTTTCTTTACACTGGCTGTAATACTTAATTTCATTTCGGTGCTTATTAAGCAGTTGCTATTATTTTTCAGTTCCTTTCAGAGCAATGCAATTTGTGCAAGATGCTGAGTTATCAGGAAAACGAAAGGTCGACCACTAGGTCTGACTCGTGATTTTATTTACCGGTAAGCAAGTTTTTTTAATTGTTGGCTAACTATATGGATTTATACGAGAACAATATCACTGAAACTAAAAAAAATAATGATGTTTCATCATCAAGCTTGAATTACAAACGAAGAATTTACCCAGTGGTTCATTGGCCCTCAAATCGACGACATATTTTCAGCCTTCAGAGATAAACTCGACCGCCCAGGAAGCGGAATCTTCATTAAATCCTTCTCCAGTTTGTCAAACAATGTGTCTAAATGTAATCTTTTAAAGTTTTTATACATGATCACATGATGTGCAAAAACCTCAGTCATGAATTTACCTTGCTCATCTAATACCTTCTGTGTTGAAGAAAAATGTATTGAAACCAGTAAGTATATCCTCACATAAACAGGGATTATTAGCCAGATATGTTCTTTAAGTTTCTTCTAGCTGGGATAAAACTCTGACGTGTGAAGTGGTTTTGAAACAACAATATGGGGGGTAATAAAATGACGAGGAATGACATGACGAGTTTATATTCAAGTTTTGATAGCAATGATATGTGAGGACCTTCCAAAATTACATTGTACGACACGAAAAAGTCTGAAATTCAGACTGGGGACACACATAACCCCCTTACTGTGCCATGTTCAGTGCATCACAGAGTAGATAAAGCTTGGCTAGAATTACACAGACCCTATTCAGCATCTACATGTGGCTTTCATTTTTCTTTTCACCAGGAAACACAATCCCAAATATTCTGGAATTGTTTGTTATAAATAAGAAAGAACAGGCAGAACTTCGAAGAGGAGTTCCTTTGTCTAGGTAACTCCTGGTTTGAAGTTTCGTTTGTACTTATTTAAAACATTTTGACCATTGTGTTAAGTGTTGATACCAACTTCCTTTTAGTCAGTGTGAATAGAATTATTTACATTCAGGTCTGCAAAGTGTTTGATGAATCACGCAACTTTTGATACCAAAGAAATTATGTCATGTTTTTCCATGATGTGTTCAGGCATAGATTTAACTGAAGGTAAAGTGCATTATCTGCTTGTTTTTTTCCTTAAAACATTTCTTAATAGCAAAGTCATTACAAGTCTTTCCAGTACTATAAATTGAATGTTTTCACAGAATATTAATGCTGGCAGTAATTGCTTTGGAAGGTTCCAGCTGTCAAGCATCATGGAATGACTTTAATCTATGTTTTTGTTGATCCACATAAAATGGAAATTTTTGGATGTACAGTTTCTGATCTTAATCAGAAAGGAATGCAAACTCATGAGCATACCAAAAGTGTTCATATCAGCTTTTTGCCACAAGAGTGAGTCTTGATCAAATACATTCATTTTGTACAAACCTGTGGACATAATTTGTTATTAGTAGTTTGAGAGTACGGACTGTTGTTTTCCTGTTGTTTGCGTTGCTGAGAAAAAGCATGGAAAAAATGTGAGCTTGCTAAGGGATGTCCATGATTTTGTTAACATTAGGATATTTATCGGAGGCCGCCAGGTACATGTTTTTCAACTGATAGATGTGACCATACTGAAATGTTGTTTCCGCAACTGGAAAGGAGGAGAGGTGTAAACTGACTTCTTTCTAGGATCACGTTGACCAGATGTGAACCTTACCCAGAGTTTAACAATTAAACAACCAGTGTTTGGTATATATATACATGTGCAGAGGTTTTCATAAAACATTTTCAGCCGAGGGGCAACTGGTTTTCACAGGTGAACAAAAGTTTTTTGAACTGAACTATGTTGTAAAAAAACTTTCCTCCAGATAGTCGTACCAGTTGGGGAAAATTACCCTCACAACCAGCAAATTTGCCAGGTGTCCAGCTCTTATTGAGACCCCAGGGTATATGTGTAGTTGCTGATCAGTTAATACTGGGTGTATTTTTAGCAAGGTTACCCTTTTTAGATGGTTAATCCTACTGGCAGTATGGGAGATATTGGAGATGTGTTGCTTTAATGTTAGTATGTTAGACTCCTAGAGAAACCTATCAAAATGCTCAAGGGTAACCTTCGACAGACTACATGTAGCATGTGTCATAGACAGCTGTATGTTTAAATACTTGTTAGTATATCTGGCCAAGGATACTTTCTGGTAGTTATGAGCCATCTGGCTTGTGAAGACATCTTAATTTCGGGGTAAACCCGTATATTCCCCTTACATCTTCCCTTTGTAGAAGAGATGTTTGAAAAGTGGCTGAGAGGATGCAGTGTACACTGTATCTCTGTATGTTGTGTTCATGCAGAATGAACCAAGCCAGCTGTGAAGTACTGGCAACCAGCCTTGAAATGACCTCTTTTCTATTCAAGTGACATTTACTATGTAAAGCTCAACAGTGAATTTAGCGATTGAAAGTAATATAACCATGAAATGATGAATTCCAATCAATGACACCAATGAAAATTTGTAACAAAAAATCAAATCATTTCATCCTCAAGCGAGCTTACTACAGCAATCTTAACCTTAATGCAAATTCTTGTGAACTTGGTGCTGAGTATTTTGTTTGATCATTTATGAAGTCTTTATTGAATTTTTTTGCTATGACAGGAAATAAACAAAAAAACAAAAAAACAAAAACAATATCTTATCAATTTAAAGGGTCGTCTACATTGGTGGCAAAATCTGACTGTTTATAGATACTTTGAATTCTTTTCTACCTCTATGAGCACAACTGTATTGTTTGTATATATTAATAGGATTAAACTCCAGCAGTGATGGATGCATCCACAGTAAGTGCTAAAATTTTCTAAAATTACATTTTGCCAAACAACTTGGGCACAAAGAACACAATAGGGCTAAAAACTACTGGGCAAATTCTGTTTTTTCTTCCCTGATTTCTGGATACAAAATAATATGCCTATTAATATTTAGATATTAGTTGTGTATGGTGAAATGTTGTTGACACAAGCGTGATTTTGACAAAAATCAGTCAAGCAATTGTGAATAAAACAGGGAAATCAATCAATTGAAACCTTTAAGTACATGTAAACCTGAAGGTTTATGGAATGATGCAACATTGCATTCATTCTGATACAAATCTGCGATAAACTACATTTCATGATGTACATGTGATACTGTATTGCCATATGGTAAGCTGAGAGACACTTGATATACTCTGAGGGGCAATATTTTTCAATGCTAGACTTGCAATGCTAGGTTGCAAGTAATGAGCACTGTGTTCTCATTTTTGCGTAGGAACAGAGTAAATAGTCTTTTAAATGGGTCACGATTTGCAGTCATTGGTCTATATATATAGGTCATCCTTTAAAAACATAGTAATTAGTGTTTATGAAAACTGACAAGAGTTGTGCAACAAAAGTTTTTGTATTTAATGCATGTAATCTGTATTAAATGAATGGGTCAGCAGTGCAGCATTTGGCAAGATCTGCACACCCTGCATGTTTTCAAAAGCATTATTACCATGTGTTTGTGAATTCAATACCTCTTGGTAAGTTCATAGGATCCTGTTAATGTTAATTTGTATGGATTGAGTTTGTTGTCAACTGGTTCTTGTCTTTGCTCTGAGTGATTTTTCTCCAGACTCTTCAGTTTTCCTCCTTCCTCAAAATCCCTTCTAGATTCCAATTAGATCTGGAAACAGTGATCAAATAGCCACTGTGTGTGATGTGCCATTGCTAATTTCCTTTTATATTATACAATTCATTAATTTTGTCTTGTGAAAGCCTCCATAAAGTCAATTATATGGTGTTGTGGAATGTGTAATATTTGTACAGTTATCCATGCATTAAAATTAATTATTATTCAACTTTCATACACTGTATGAATTCCGATGTTCTGATTGGCTGATTTGTGCCACGTTATACTAGGTTGTGATGAGACAACCACCTTGACGTCATTATCGTGGTGTAATAGCCATGGTGCAAATTCAACACACCACTGTCATTACACCATGGCTTTGGCTGACTCAGATATAGTGGTTCCAATGCAGTGTTTCTTTGTGCAGTGTATTCAATTTGAATGATAAAATTTTAACGCACTCATTGTTCATCAATTATTGGGATTTACCTGTACTCATTCACTAACAATGAAGACGAAATTTTCAATACCACACTCAGCAAAGCCTCGTGCGGTATTGAAGTTTCTTGTTCATTGTTAGTGAACTCATGCAGGTAAATCCCGATAATTCACTCACTTAGTGCATTAACCTGTAATTACCCACCAGTTTTAAGACATCTCACTCAAAGGGAAAACGGTGTAAAGAATGAATACTACATTGTACCACTCTTTAACAAGCAATGCTACAATAATGGTATCACACAAATGGCCAATCATTAGCAAACATGTCGTGATCATCCTTGTTACTGAACATGTTACCATAGCAACAACACAACCGGTTAAAAAACCCTTACTTTCAGCTTTAAGTGCTTATAACTCAAAAACGAGCTCAGTGACCCCCATATTTAATTATAGAATAATTATTGTGATAAGCATGATAAGATGCAACATTTTACAGAGTTTAAAAAAATGCATGGAGAGTGTACAGAGCCCCCTTAACTTCTCGAAAATTGAAGGGGTTAAGGAATTAAGATAAGTTAATTGGAAAAATGTTACTTGTTAGGGGATACATGATTTGAAAACTGATGTTTTACTTATAGAGTTAGATGTTCTCTCCTAGAAATCTGAACTGTAATTCTATACTATTTGATACTTGAACTTGAGCACCCATTTTTATCACTGAATTACTGAATTAAATGTAAAAGTGAAACTTTCATTTTGGTAAGATTGAACAAATTCATGGAAAACGATTCAGCACTATACATGTAACTTTGCAAAGCAATACAACTTTGCTTTGTTGATACTTTGTCACGCAACGGTAAGCTCTCTCGGCGTGACTCTCCGAGTACATCTTTTGCATCCACGAGAAGACTAGGGAGACCTCAAAATGGTTTTCTAATTAACAAACTGACGTCAGTTTTTTATGTGTCTGTCCTCTTTTTGATGATAAATTGCGTCATAACATTGTCAAAGTGGCTGTGGAACCACGAGCTGCAGACGAGTGGTTCCGCAGTAAACTTTGACAATGTTATGACGAAATTCATCATCAATAAGAGGACAGATGCATAAAAAACTGACGTCAATTTGTTTTTTACAATAAAAAGACCCCAAAATGGTCAGATGCCGGGAATAAATGGGGGGAAAAGAAGCCGTAAACTTGCCGTAAACAAAGAGAAGTGAATTTTATTCAAAATGACGCGAGCAATGTCAATAGCTTTTCTCGCTATTTGATTGGCTACTTAAAATAGTTTAAGAACTCTCATTGGTTAAAAAGTTGCTGAAAGTTGGACTTGAAAGCTTGCATAAATTAAAATTTTATCCGTCTGTACTCTTATTGATGATAAAAATGAGCCAATCAGTGCGCGAGATATTAGACAGTCATTGTAAAAAATGTGTTTTAGAAGCGGTTTTGTAAAACCAAAACCAAAGTAATTTCTCTGGCCAATCCACAAAGGACAGAACCAATCCAGTGAACCAATCAAAACTGGAAAAAAAAATACCTGTAGCTGACGCGAAGTGCGGGAAAACGAGTCACGTTTGGTTTTGGTTTTACTTCTGATTGGATGAAAAAGTGGCACGAGTTTTTTAAGCCAATCGCCTAGCATAACAGGATAAAACCAGCGAAAAACGCTCTACTTTCGGGACAACTTTAATTTGTCGATTAGTTTAGTCAATCCCTATTCTCCGAAAGCGAGGGGAAATATTTCTGCTCAACTCATAATTTCTTTGTATAATTTTTAACTCATAAATATTTCTTGTGGTGACCGCCCAGTTTTGCAAGCCTTTCGCAAAACGAGCTATTGCTCCTGTAAAAATGGTGGATGTTTTTTGGCGCACTTTTATTGAATGAAGCTAGTCACTCCGTTTGTTTAACCAAAAACCTTTATATTAAAACGTTTGGTTAGTATAAGAAGAAAGAAAAAAAAACATTTAGCGCTTCATTTCAGCATCTGTCTATGCAAGAGTGCGATATTTTTTAACTGTGAGTTTTTGTTTTGCAGAAAAACGGTTGGTGTTTATATATGTAACTCGTAGGGCGTTATTTTTTAGGAGGGCTAGGGAAAAAACTAAATCACTAATTGACCACAAGAAGGCCTAGTTACAAAGGAAACTAATTAAGACAAACGTAACTGACTCTTTGCATGGTAATTTTAGCTTTAGGGCAGGACTTGGCGAGCGGTTTTTCGTCTATCAAATTACCTATTTATCTTTGTCAACTTTTGAAACTAGTGTAAAGACTGGCCGATTAGGTTCACAACCCGCATTGTTGATCGAAACTTGAAACCGAGCTTAATTTCAAACGTCTTCGTGGTTGGTTCGCGGCTTTTGCGCTTTTCAACGCAGTGTTTGTGTTGAATAATAGATACATACCTGTTCAAAAGCTGATGAAGGACATGTTTTAATTGGTGTTTCCGAGAAAGTCTGAATCAACGGAAATTCAAACAGGAAAGTGTAAAAAAGGAAAAACAAACAGCTATAAAGTCTTCGCTGTGGTCTCCTGCGTCTTCGGCTTCGTGGAGTTCAACTCAATTGTTTAAGCGGAGTCGTAGACAAAGTCTGGAACAAGTTGCGGCGAAAACAGAACAGGTATCGAAAGCAATTTTCATTCAAACTCGTAGCCATTGTAGTACTCTCGATATTTATATTTTTTAGAGGTTTTAACGTTTCAGCTGCAAAGCGCAAATAATGTTGGTTTACAGCGTGAAAACAAGAAAGCTGTATACAAAGGGCGAGGTGATTTTGAGGTGCTGAAATCGGTTTTGAAGATTTGCGACGGCTTTACATGTAGACTAGACTCTTTATCGGCGGCGTTTAAGAAATTTCTCTTCGTTTTCTTTTAATTTGAACTGTCCTGAATTTGACAGATTATTTTAATCTTTCAAAGCTTGTTATTTTTGAGGTTGGCCGGCATCACCTTGCACCTTTAAGCGCATATTTGCCGCACCTTTATCTTGACGGAAGTTAGTTTAGCAGCGTGACGTCATTGATACGCGATAATCGATCGTTAGTAGTCATGGCAACACAGGGCCTTGTACCCGGCTGAGTGGTGAAATTGCTTCAATCGAAGAAAAAAAAAACAAGAAGTGTAAAGAGCCATTTATTGGGGATTATAACTGAGGTGAAAGACTTGATCAAAGAGATAATTTCGGCTGATGGATTTTCCGATGCGGTTAGTTGGATTATTAATTCATTCACTGTTGAAGGATTATTGACACGGTATAATTAAGTTTTTTTTTTTTCGATGTATGAACTCCATCTACAGGTATTAGAGAAAAACCTTTAAATTATGGCTTTCGAAGCTATGAAAACACCAACGAGGTGATGATAAACATGAAAGGAACAAAGATTGTTATAAAACTTATCCTATACAAAGAAAATTTTATGAAAAAAGAGTTTTTTTGCCCAGAGATCAGCTACTTTGTAATTCTTGCAGTGTTTGGTCAAAAGGCGAATGAATGACACAGTGTCGCGACAAATTACGAAAGTAAAGCCTGTTATGGTGATATCTCGACTTTTTGTGACCTGTAGAGAATGGTTTTGACCAAACTGGGGTGCTGAAATCTTAGTTATCAGTTAAATTTTCTGCGATTGTCAGATATGCACTTGAAAAATTTTGAGTCCTTTCGTTAGTTATCAGTAGATCTCAATGCAGATTTTGGATCTCAGCTTTTGGTTAAAAAGCACCTCATTTCTTAGTCGCCAGTTAATATTTTAATCAATTCTCACTTATCAATAGTCCAGTTTCGAGTCCGCCATGACCACTGATTAAAAGCACTGAGAACGCATTTYCACAGGGTTAGCCTCGACCTAAAGTAAAATATTCACAAATTCCAGCGAGAAGATGACCTGTTTACAGCTCTGTGTATTGTTTAATTTTCAAATTTGTGGCACCTTTCTGCCGGTATTTGTGAATATTTTTTTTAGGTCGAGGCTAACCCTGTGCAAATGCGTTCCCAGTGCTTTTATTCAGCGGTCATGGCGAACTCGAAACTGGACTATTGACAATTGGCTTCATGGCTTTTAAGCAGGAATAATTTCGCGTACTACTTTTAATGCCAGGACTTGGCAAGGGGGATTTTTATGCCTGTAAAATATGGTTATTAGTCTTTGTCAACTTTGGAAACTAATGTAAAGAGTGGTGGATTAGGTTGGCAATCTGCAATATTGATCGAAACTTTTTACGTTTACTTTCGTATGTTCTTTTGTGGTTATCTAGATAATTTTCCTTGAATAATAGATATATGCCTGCTGAGAGCTGATTCAAGATACATGTCTAATATCTCTTACAGGACCAAATTTTCAAGCAAACAGGTTGCAGAGAATTAACAGAATAATCGACTTGGGGGATGTGGGCTTGACGTGGCTCTCTGAACTGCTAATAACATTAAGATCAACAGTCCTTGCTGCGTTAGCTTTGTACTCTCTTCTTTGTTTTACTCTCACGATGGCACTGTGCTTGTGCTTAACTTTGGACCTCGCTTTGTCATTATAAAAATGAAAAATCTGACGAAATTACGCACATTTGGACACTTGGAAATAGTTTTTAAAAAAATTATGACAGTTGAAACTAGTCGGAAAGGAAAATGTCACCTTGTCGACAGGGAAATGTTTTGCTGGAATTTTGTTTGTTATTGACGGAAAGAAACAGCGATGATCATTAAAAACTAAAATTGTTTTTATTATTGATAATTAATTCTTTTTTTAACCTCCTGCTGTAGGCGAAAAGTTTTCAACTATTAGTTTTGGGAGTGCATATCCGCCTAAAATTTAAGGATCTAAGAAAGCTTACGCTCGTATCACTTATGAAGCCAAGTTATTTCCAAGAAACACTAGGTTAAACTGTGATACTGGACCTATCAGGCAATGTCTTTTGATTGAAAATTTATCACTGAGTAGTGTTCTGAATCAGCGGTTGTTTACGGGGAATTGGGTGCAGTGAAATTTTAGCGTGTATTCCCCAAGTTAACAAACCTAATGCAAGCATTTGAGTAATTTTTACATGGTGTTTGCCTTTCGCAGATCTCGGATTTGATAACTGAGCTTTATTTTGACCGTGCTGTGCTGTTCTGATCTAAAGCAGAGAAGCACTGAAGTTGGTATATTTGCTGCAGCGACCATCTGTCCTTTTTAAAGATCTCAAACTGGATTTACAGGTACGAATCGCCCATAGGTGTAAAAGTTAGAACCCAAGGCCGCGTTGTTCGAAAGCCGGTTAAAGCTAACCCTGGATTAAAAGTAAACCCAAGTATTCATTTTTCTGGTGTAAAAACGTTTTTCACTGCTTATGTTTTGGGTAGTTTGAGATTACTCAAGCTCAAAACTGAAGAACAAACAATGTAAACAGAAAACCTCACCACAAAGTTATGAAACTGAAACTTATCAAAATTCTCGCTGATCCTGGGTTAGCTTAATCGAACTTCGAAGAACCCGACGCAGGTTTTTATCCACTGCACTGACTTGCAAAGCATACTAAACAGTGCCGTAAGAAAGTACTGCAAGTGCTAGCTTTCATTTGAATGGTCACACATGTTTTCATCCATGGTATTAACCGTTACTGCTACGTTAACAGACTCGGGTTAACGCTCAAATATTAAGAGTACTGATTTAGTTTTTACATGTTCTTCAGAAAAGTGGCTGATTTTTCTTTAGGCTTGAAAGGAGCCCAGTGGGAAAATGTCGTATTTACGAGAAAGTGCATGTTGTTTTTATTTGACTTCTTTAAGAAGGAAATTATTATAATTTATGTAAAAGATGGTGCAGGATCTGACTCGTCCCATGTCGTCGCTTACAGTTTATCTTAAGTTAACAGTGGTGACGAGTCAGGTGGTGCCAGTTTTTCCGTATTCAGTACTTTAAGAGACACTATAACCTACGATTTTGGGCTGATACAGTGAAAGTTCATGTAAAAAAATCCAATCAAACAAAACTTAGATCGTAAAAAAGGTCAACATTAAAGCTTAATCATCAAGAGGTTGGACATGAATTGCTAACTCAAACCTTAGAGATCGTAATCTCTCGAGGTTTTGTTGTTGTTGGTGGTGGTGGTTAAGCCTGCGGCAATGAACACACCTTGATCTGTTTTAGTCAAACACAAGGCGAAAAATCGGTCAGAGCTACCAATTTCATTAGTGGCAGGAATAATCCTTGTTCCTTTTAGTAGCAAATATTTATTTTTAACTATTGACCTGGAGCTAAATTGAAAAAAAACAAAATATAATGAACACACTGGTGTTAGCAGCTGTGTGATACATACGGCACCTTTGAAAAATTAATTTTATGCGAGTTTCTTCCTGTTTATGAAGGGCAACGGTGGTGTTTCGGTAGCGGCCGTTTCTTCGTTTTAAAGGTAAGACTTCCGAGTTGGAAAAGTTTTTCAGTGTATTTCCGTGTTAAAATTGAAATGATAGAAAGGGTTTGCTTTCCTCGAAAATCCCCGCGCCGTTAATTTCTTTTGTAGGTAATGTGATGGTTGAACGACATGAGTATATATTTTCCTCAAAGCTCTCCAGCAGTTGAATTGTCTGTTATCAGATTTGTATATTCTCAGCAAAACATGACTCGATCCCCCGTTTATAACAAAGATATAGAATATATCTCTGTTAGTCTCGACCGAAATGTTCACTTCTATATAACCGATATTAGAATTGTGTCTGGCAAAGGAACCCCTTTTGTAAAATAGCTTCGTGCCCGCTCTCTTGCATGAGGCGGCCTTTTTTGTTTAAGTTTTTCTGTTTTGAGAATTATTCACACATTTAGCAACTTGGTACGAATTGGTTTATGTTGCGCAAGTTCTCCTTTTTGAGAGAAAAAACGGTAAACGTGCTTTGAATTTCCAGCGAAATTCATGCGAGGAACAAATTGTTAGTATTGTACATGCTTGTTCTGTCAGTTTACCTTGTAAGAGTTTTTATGTAAGAGAAAATAATGTTATTAGCTAGTTTACAGTTACATGTAGTTTATATTCGATCCAGTAGGTGGAACGGTCGCCTATTCAGGTAATTTTAATTAGTTTTGCGAACCAATTTACCATCTGTACCACATCCGGAAAGGTGACAACCTATTTTACTTACTTTTGCTGATAACAAAATAAAATCGAGCCGGTGTTGGACTCAAATATCTTATTTGACGCTTGAACTGACTTAAGAACTTGATAAAAAAAAACATTGATTAGGTCCATAAAGTAATGCGCTCACACTCTTTTTTATAACAATATACTTAATAAGAATATCAAAGCTGAAATTTGCGGAATTTTAAGAATATTGGAAGAATAAACCCGAGGCTGAGATCTTGCAAAGAATAATTTTGGAGGTTGAAAAAAATTATTCCATTCTCAAAACTGCAAAACTAGCCAAGTAACAAAAATAGCACTAGCTGTATGTTCGATGCTAATAGCATTTCTGCAAGAAGTTATGTGTGTCAAATCAGGCTTTAGTGCATTTACTCTGGCTCAAAAATTACTTCAACTAAGAATATAAGAATATTCACAAGAATATTTTCAAAGTAAAATCATCAGATTAAAAAGAGAATATTCAGCCTTGGCGAGAAAAACAATACTCTTAGATAAAAAAAATAGTGTAGTTACAAAGAAAGGTCTCAACAGTCACGAAGTAGTTTTGTCGTGGGCGGCCGCTAATGCTCGGTTATGGCTCGTGTTCAGTCGGTTATATTCGGTTGAATTCGTAATATTATGCGCACAAATACATAAAAGAAGATGCTGCTGTTGTCAATCAACTTGGTACTTTCATTTGTGACAATGAAGCACTTGTAAGAGGAAGGAATTACAGTGAGTCGTTTAGCGGAATTTTTGTTTTGCTTCCATTTTAATTTTGAGGTAGGCTATTCTCTCGTGCAGTAAGTTAAATTATGTATAAGTAGGCGAAACATGGTAAATATCGTTTTGTTGTCTTGGTTATATTCAGAAGTTAGCGAAGTTAGGTAATCGCTCGGCTAAGTGTGTGGGTGTTAGATAGCTCCTGTTTAGATCATGTTTTCATGATTTTTGCCGGTAAAATAACTGTCTTCGATTCTGCAAGGTGCAGTGATAAACATCTTTAATACGACTCGTTTGCTCGAGTTTACAGTACGTGCAAATTATCAGGTAGCTAGTTGTTACTCACTGTAATTTGTGTCAAGTCAATTGGACCCCGCTACAGTCACGAACTCGAACAACGTCTCGATTCTATCGTCCAAAATTTGTTTTCTTGGAAAACGTGACGATAGTAATCGAAAAATAGATAAAGCTGCCTTAATTATGGCTTAGTTTAGTTTTCACGTATAGTTCCCGAATGAGACTACTTTATGAGTTTGTTGCCGTTTCCATGTACGTTAATGTAAAATTCAGTGCCTGTTTCATAGGTCTCAGTATTAATGCACAGAGATTAGGAATCGTACGTCAGAAGGAACCGTTGGTAAAGGGTTGTGCATGTGGGCAATTCAATATTTGCGCGTGTTATTATCAACGTTATCTTTCAAGAGTATTGAGTATTCACACTAGACAACATTTCGAGTAACTCAGTGAACGAACATTGTAAATATATTTGGCGAAACATGCTGGCAACAAAGGTAAATGTTGACTTTAAAAGTTTAATGTTTGAAGAACTGACTGCTTCGAGCGCAAGGCTTGAAGAAGGAAACAGTCTCCTTTTAGCATAAATTTTGTGTCTTTTGGCGCGGAACGTTCGTGAAAACTGTCAACAGAATTTTCACCAGTTATTTAAAACCGAGAGTTAATGGCCCATTAGTCAAGAGCCAAGTTTGCAAACAGAAGCAATATTCGTGAGCAATTTAAGCATTTCAAGACCATATCCTTCAGAATTTCGTTGAATATTCACCACAGCTTTTAGGCCCGAAACCTTTAAAGAGCATATAATCCGCCTTCAGGCCATATTGAAATATTCGGCTCTTTTTAAAACGACGGCCACCTTTGTGAGCGTGAGTTGCCAACGGCTTCAAGACCGCACTAACTACTACTATTCTTTCCTTCATATTTCCCTGCGGGTTGTGTTTGTTTCATGCAAATAATTTTCCCGCATGGCTCAAGGTGAATAACAGGGTTTACCTATAGGTGCCCCAGTTTCATTATCCTTCGCGGTCAAGTGAAATAGCAGTTTTTCAGCAGAGGTATTTATTTTGAATAGCAAACACTGATTCGTGTGGTTGGTGTTGATATGGATAAATTCACACCAGGGAGAATTTCTTGACCGGAAAAAAGCAGCTCATTTTCATGAATTTAATTGGGTTTACCTTGTAAGTTTTGTTTAGGATTCTCGTTAGTTTCAATTGTATTATATTCAAGATAACCCCTTGGTGTTTTCTATTTTTATTATTTTATTTCATTGCATGTCGACCTCAGTTTAGACATCATTTTTCTTAGTATTTTTGTTAGCTTAGTACTTTTCATATTGCGCTTTCAAATAACATCTGCCTGCCGATGGCTACCTTAATGTGTCATGCGAATTCGTGGTCCTTTTTATGTTAAAAGGTTTTTGATAAGACTTGACAGACATTTCAATTCCTGTCACGATGGTGTTCGAAATTTGAAAAAAGCATATGTTTTCTCGCATTTGAGGGGTTGCTCTACCAGTATATCATCTGTTATTGGCGAATTTCACCACCGTTTGCACAGCTGTTCATAAATCCCTTTAACAGAATTCGCGTTGAGCATTTCTTATCTGAGAAAAATTTTGCTATGCTAATTTTACAATGTTGTAGTATTATAAGTTACAGCCTTTTTCAGTTTGTTCCAAAGGTTTCTCTGGGTGTTTTATGATCAGTAGGATTTTTGCGACTCAAAAGAAAGTTAAGCTTACACGTTTATTTGGAAGGGATTTTGCGCTAGTAAAATTTGGGTACGTTTGAAAAAAACCCTGTGATAACTACAGATATCATCCAAATACTCCAAACATAGTGATATGAAACTCACGAGCCGAGAAACACATCTGGCTGTCAACTGAACATATTGAATAAGAGTATTGAAAAGAATATTTTACAAGATTGAAAGAAATTAATATGTTGTCCCTTATGAGCGTGTTATTACATTCAGTGTGGGAGGAGCTTGATTTAGAACGGGAGGAGGGTACGGTGGTTCGGAGCTTTTATAGGCGTTTGACTGAAGAGCGTTCTTCGCAAAACAAAGGCTTCTTTACTTGAGGTGCCAGGTTTGGGTTTAGATTGAGATTAAGATTGAGATGCAATCCCGTGGTAACTAAAGATGTCATGCAAATACTCTAAACATAGTGGTATGAAACTCGCAAAAAACACATTTGGCTGTCAACTGAGCATAGTGAATAAGAATGTTGAAAAGAATATTTTACAAGATTGAAAGAAATTAATATGTTGTCCTTTATGAGCGTATTATTATATTCAGAGTGGGAGGCCTTTGTTTCAGAAAGGGAGTAAGGTTGTTTTGTAAAAAGGAGGAGGTGTATAATGATTGGGAGCTTTTAGGCCTTTGACTGAAGATCGTTCTGCATAGAAGAAAGGCCACTTTACTAGCGCCGCGTTTGGGTTAGATTGAGATGTAGATTTTCTGTTCAGTGGTTGATTTTTTTGATAGTCGACATTTCATCTTTCTATGCTGCAGTTCAGCGTCAATCAAGTTTCTCGTCATACAATCAAGACGCAATTTATCCTAAAACTCACAGGGATGTTATGATAGAGGGTTTGTCATTGAAGGTTTGACGTTGCCCTGGAGGCATTGTTTGTTGGCAAATTTTAAATTTCTGTACACACTAATGCTTGGGAGGCGAGGTGGCCTCATGGTTAGCGCGCTGGATTCGAGTTGCCCGGGTTCGAGACGTTGCCGGGCTCATTGCGTTATGTTCTTAAGCGAGACACTTTACTCCGACATTGCCTCTCTACATAGGAGTGAAGAAAGGTACCGGCGACGTTATTGCTGGGGGTAACCCTGTGATTCACTAGCATTCCTTGTCGCTTCGTGCTAATGTAACTAGAGATAAGCGTCGGCCTGATGGGCCACTTTGCTCGTATGTAGACTTTACCTGCCTTACCAACTAATATCGCAGCACAGCTTTTTTGACCTGTTTTTGAAATTACGTTACAGTTAAAGGTCTTGAAGGCCACCTTAAATTGATATTATCATAAATGTGAGGTGGCTCTAAACCCCTCGACAGAGTACATGCATAATCTGTTGTTGCCTTATCAGTTAATTTTGTAGTCAAACGTATTTTGAACATGCTATATAGGTTAACTTGACACTTTTCCTGCTTTGTCTTAACTTTGGGCTCGGTGCGATAAAATGCCCGTGAAGGGAAAGTGGTAAGAACTATGAGCAACCATGATGAAAAATTAAATTCTCCAAACTGGTGCCACCAGAAATTCAACAGACCCTGACCACTTAAGGGAAACTCTCAATCATGTTGGCTGACAAGAGGGCTTAAAGGGTTAATTACACCCAATTATTTTTCTCTGCAGGGTCGGTTTTGTTCAGCTGCATGTGTTGTTGACCGCTTCATTCTCTGTTGTTGATTAAGAACCTGTGACAGGTAAGCGTGTGTTTTTAGTCTTGTCAACCTTCAGAATGTCTTACTTCAGACCTTTGCAATGTTCCAAACGTGCTTCATTGTGTAGCATTTTACCTCGCTAATTGTAATTATCCCTTAATGTGTTTTTGTGCGCAGTCAGCATCGGCGTTCCAGAATGTACTTGTTTCAGCTCATTACTGTGTTAAAAACACTTGGCATGGTCGGTAATTTGGCTCAATGCATTTTCAAAATTTCCGTTCGCTAATGTATATATCTATTTTTTTATTTTGGCGCAGTTATTGATTAGAATTTGTTTCAACGCAATAATATTGCAGGGCTTTCGGCGTATCTTATCAAGCTGTACATAATCCCATGTTTGACACCTGTATAGAGGAGTGGTCTTAATTTTAAGAGGAGGGTTATCGTCCGATTGTAACTTCAAGAGTTTTAATGTAGTATTTCCACATATTTTACCCAGTTGTTCAAACTTTTCGCGGTATTCATGTTAAAGATGTTTTTGTATTGGATCTTTTTTAGCGAATTTGATATATTTTATTCATAGCATGAAATATTTAACGAAGTTCGTCTTGCAGGTTGATAGCTATCATTGCACAGGTTGTTTTCTTGTTTTTGAGATAATTCTTTGTGTTTAACGAACGGATCAATCTAAAGCGAAAAATCTACAAACTGTTTGAACATTTTTTTGATACTGAAAACGTTAAGACTTTTATGTGTCAATGTACAGCTCTGGAGAAAGAACTCCTTGAATTTTATAAAGTTGTTGCTTGAACATGTGTCAAACGTTGTGGAATCCCGGCATACGAAACATGGTGAACTGTGAAGCTATCATGTAAAGAACAAACTTTGCGGAACCGGAAAGTTTAATCCTAAAACACATTGCCCCTGTACACAGAACGGACAGCTAACAAGTTATCCGTTAAAACGCATGACTATTACCGACCATTTTAGACAGATAGCTCGTCTAATTTCACTTCTCAAATTGGTCTTCGCTATAGACTGGTAAAGTTAAATCTATTGTATGTTGCAAACCTTGACTTGTTTGGAACACAAAACGAAGCTGAGATGGCATGAATTTGAAAATAAGTTAAATAAACCAACGTGGCAAACTTTTGTAGCCAGGTAGTATTCTACACGACTAAGTATAACTAGCCATATTGGTGTACAACTGTTAGTTGACCATAACAGCTAGAAGCGTAGCACGTGGAAAACTGAATTTTTAAGTTATCTATTGAATGAATTCTGTACATGTGTACAAGTACACATTTCAATATCTAAGCTGAAGAGTCCTGATAGTTTAAAGTCTATTTACAGAGTGAAAATTTTGATATTTTTCCTTTTAACGAGTATTCACGACTGCATAACGTCCTTGATAAAAACTTCATTATGTCTTCCTTAAAAGAGAATCAAAACTGTTCCAAAACAAAGTTGAACTGCTGGAAGTCTGGACTATTAAAAACCATCCCCCCTGGACTGCAGGACGTTATACCATTGTTAACAGATAATTTGAGCGTTAAAATTTGGAATTCCTCACTGCGCGAAAAAGTTCAGTGACTGATTTTACGCCTGAGTATAAACGGTTATACGTGGACTACGGATAGTTTGTCGCAGATAAATGGTTGTTTTCACTTTACATGCAGATGGATATCTCATGTCAGGCCAGCCATCTGTGTCAAATGACCGTGTAGAGAGTAAAAGAGAGAGAAACCTATAGTCTATTGGGGTCCCTGATTGGGGTCTGATTATTAAAACTATTTTTCATGCTGATTACTTACAATCCTAATTTGTCTTTGTTATCTTCTTTGTTTTGTCCGTGGTTCGCACAGCTTGCACTGGTTTTGATGTCCCAGTCAATCAAAGTCTAAATCGAACGTTCCACTGGTGGAAAGAGGTTATTACATGAGATGATATCCACGCGTTACTGCCCCTATGTTTCGCGCTGGTTTTGTATTTTCGTGTGANTTGGTTATTGCTTGCGCGCGTAAATCCGTAACCCAGCAACAACCAATCAGACTCTACACAGGTCTCTGTACAGCTGCGTCATCAGTATGGAATGTCAGACATCTACGTCGGTTGAAGAGACAATAAACGTATTGTCGGCATTTGACTGGAACTAGCTTGCAACTGAGGCTAATGCGGGGAGTGTTTTCAAATGCAAATGACGTTTATCTCTTTTTAATGATATTCCACCGCATGAGCCTTCATGGCAAGCTAGTGCCAGTCCAACACCGATAATACGACTATGGTCTAATAATGAAAAGAGCGAATAAAGAGGTGATTGGGTAATGCTGTTTGGCAAAGGAGTGCAGTTAAATAAACTATCCGCTCGTAGACTTATCATTGCAACCTAGAATGCACATAAGTAAATAGTAGAGTAGCTTCTAAATCTTAGCAAAATTAAAGCGGGCAAGTGTTAAGTTTTACACTCGGTCATCGCAACGAAAAGTTGCGTTTTGAGATAGAACTAGATTTTTCAAGTATTTACCGAAGTAACAGAGAGTTAGCAGCTTCGCGCATAGCGAAAGGAGAGAGCATTGCAGCTATTAAAGGCTTAGAACTTACTAGGTATCCTAAACGAAACGTCTTGTAAATCGCAACAACTGGAGGTGAAACGAGTGTTAGTAACTCACTGCGTTGAAAACGTTGGAGCAGAATGCCAACCCGTAATCTCAATAGCATTGTTTGGTTTTCCTCTTGCAGTCCTTTCAGCCGCTCTNGAGTGCAGTTAAATAAACTATCCGCTCGTAGACTTATCATTGCAACCTAGAATGCACATAAGCAAATAGTAGAGTACCTTCTAAATCGCATAGGGAAAGGAGAGAGCATTGCAGCTATTAAAGGCTTAGAACTTTACTGGGTATCCTAAACGAAACGTCTTGTAAATCGCAACAACTGGAGGTGAAGCGAGTGTTAGTAACTCACTGCGTTGAAAACGTTGGAGCAGAATGCCAACCCGTAATCTCAATAGCATTGTTTGGTTTTCCTCTTGCAGTCCTTTCAGCCGCTCTCTACTTCGGTTCATGGTTCTTCTGCAAGCCAAACGATCCAAACCCGGATGTAGACCATCCAGCTCAGTCGCAAACTCGCCTTAGCCCTCCTCAGACACCTGTGCCAGGCCTGGAAATCCGCCAACAGCGGCAAGCTGCTGGTCAGCAGACCACTTCAAAGGAAGAAACTCTTGCGCAGGCTGATCCTGACAGCGGAAGCCTCTCCCCAGTCCCTGGCTTTGCGCGGTATGCAACTGATGACGAAAGTGTCTTCCTTTCTTTTAAGAATGCGGGAGATGAGAGCCGATGTAGTTTTCTTCCTGTTACGCAGTTCGAATCTTCGATTTAGAGGTGAATGTTTTCATTACGATGCGCCAAAACAGAAACGAACGCCTCTCATGTTAGGAAATACTAACTCTTGAGTCCTTATTTCATATAAACATTAAGTACCTGACTGGATACAACCCAAAATAGACAAACCATTTAAATAACATCTGATAGTTGCTAACAGCTTTTATAACGTTTGTAGTAACTGGAACGTAGTTTTCCAGTATTGGGACGTTTTGAAATTATCCCACAAGTCACAGGCAATCTTTCATGCGAAGCGCGATGCATATAAGATGAAAGATCACTCTTTAAGAAAAGATGAAAGATCACTTTTTTAAAAAAAAAATATCGACACGTTCGTTAAGGTAATTTAGAAGTCAACCTGTGTCCCAGTTAGCAAAAAAGGTCTACTTGTATTGAACTAAATATAAACAAAAAGCCAAGAGAGAAGGGTGACTGCGAGGCCAGACTTCGCTTTGCAATATTTTGCTTCTACCTTGACGAAAGGGACCGATTGCAGTGTTTTCACGTCTAGTTGCGAGGTTAAAACTAAAGTCTATACTCCGAAACGGCCTTTTCATGTAAATTCTTTGCAGGTTTAGCCTCTTTGTACGTACGCAACGGATTAAATCTCGGTTAACTGAAACCAATATTTTGGATACATTTTAAAACGATTGAGACACTGCGTACACTAACAAAGTAATTTTTGTTCAGAATCACCTCTAAGTATAGTTTCTATCTATGGTAAATTTAAATTGAATCTGGTTTCGTTTATTTTACGAATTTTTTTATTTGTTATTAAGTTTGAAATTTTCTTATCGTTTGTTGCCATAGACATGGTCAAGGCGGTTTTCTACATTTGTTATTCGTACTTTTTGGATAGTGCACACTTATCCGTTTATTTTTGATATACCACACAATAGATCGACTAGTTTAGCTCGAGAGGGTTCTTCAAATACAATTTCTCACGAAGGGTTATTTTTTCTAGACACATTTTAAGGTTAATATAAAGCATTATTTTCATTGCATAAATTCTTAGTTAACTTAAGGATTGTACAATATATGAATTCAACGTGACTCGAATGGAAAAAGAAATTCTGACTTTCAATTGTAAATAGACACCCGCCTCTCACTGCTCCAGCCGCTACGTACGAACGTTCTTGCACAAACACCCGTTGTGGCCGGCATCGACGAGGAAAGGATATGTATTTACAGGCTACCTAAATCAAGAGTTAACTATTAATTATAAATGAAATATGTTAATACTCTTTAAACTGCTATTTCAGTGGAAAGGGCTTTTTTGTACCGTTCACTAGGATTATAACGCATCTTTACATCTTGAGCTTTTCTATAACAGTAGCAAAACGCCTTTCCCGTTTTTTAAAATTAGTACTGAAAAATACCATGCCGAGTTTGAAGAATGATGATATAATAATTGTTAATGAAGTTGTATGGATAATTGTATATAGAATAGTAAAAGAAAGTTATATGGTAGTCATTCAGGAGATATTCAGCCGTGTTCAATTATTCAGAGGCTAGTAAGATTTTTTTTTCAGTTAAGTGCTAAAGCCTGTGTAGGCCCGTAAAGTTTGCGTTGTAAGCAAATTAAGCACGGACTGGTGCTGTAAGCTCCCTAGTTGTTGTAGCTTCACATAAGGATGTGGTTAGGTTGCACTGAATAGAAGAGACGCTGCCAATCCTTTCTAGGCGTTGGCTATGATTAAAAGGGACTGGTGGAGAAGCGATGACCGGATGTCTTTTGAGTTTAACATGATGCTATTTACAGTGTGTTGTGGTTTGATTTCCAAGAAAACGAATTTGGAGGTTCGCATTCTTATGTCTTATCTTTTAGCCAATGATGAGCTTAGTGAAGGGCTACGCTAACCGACTACATCTAGCGCAAGTCCGTGTTTTACTAAAGAAAAGCGGCTTTCATAATTTAGGTTTTCTGATTTCTAGGATCTACGAGTCAGCGGTCTCTTGTGAGAGGCACGCGCGCGGGCGCGTTGTGTCTCTCGAGTCCAGCCTTGTAGATCCTGGAGATCAGAAAACGGTTTAGAGTGTGTCCATTTTTCAACATTTCCTCTTTGTCAGTCAAATATCACTCGTTAACATGCAAGATCAAATAAATTATTCTTTTGGCTTTACGTTTGGGCTTTTCATGTTCTCTTATGTTAACTTTTTGTATTTTCCCTTTTCCCTACTGATCGGGATTCTTGCGGATGTAGTGTTGAATGATTAGCTTGCTTGTGGTCCGTTCTCACGGGCAAGGAGTATGGGGCGAGAGTATACAATGAGACAGGAATGAGACGAAACAAGGGCGCGGCTCGCCCCAGCCCATTTTCGTCCATACCGCCTTTTACGTTCGTATTCGCGGAGACAAACACTCTTCGGACTCCAACAGAAAATACCGACCGTAAGTGGTCTTTTATTGTTATTTCTTTTTTACAGATCTCTTTCTCGACTCCGACATATGAAAGGGTTCAGGCGAATTGATGAACCACTAACTTCACAAACTGAGAGCACAACTCTTAATCGTTTCATCATACACTATGCTCCTGACCCTACACATTACACCAACAGGCAGTGAACAACAAGACAAAACAAACACGTCCATTTTTCTCTTAATGTTTTCGTTTCGATTCTCGCTCGACAAACTAACAAATTGTTGCTTCTCCGAGACTAGGTCTTTACAAAGTTCCAGACATTATATACTTTATTTATAAGAGGGATCAACGCTTGGAAAGCCCAATTTGTGATTAATAAAAAAACAAACACCGTTACAGCTTGGGTATGTTGGAGGNTATGTAATTTTGCCCTTAGTTATATCATAGGGAATTTATTAACAGAGAACGCTTTCAAAAGACATTTATGTTCTGGAATGAAAGGGGTAGAAAATGATAGATAATCGGCAAACAAAAATCACAACTTGCACTAAACACAGTGATTTTTATGCTAGGAAAGTGCTATGTGAGGGAGCTGAAATTGACTTCCTAACCAACTCTGTAGCAATCCTCACCAAGTGTCCCATCGTTCGGGTAAAAACGTTTCAGCTTCGGGGAATATTTTGGGGTCGCAGTTGGCAGCTCTTGTGAGAAATCCTACATAGTAACCGCCGGGGACTTTGTAGCCGTCTATTTCTACATCCTGGTGAAAAATGAAAAAGGATTAATCTTCATTCGCCTGTGGTTACCATACCTCGCTATACCACAACACTTTCAAAGTATAAATGAATGGAGAATTAGTCTAAATCTCCTAGCGTTCTATCACGAATGCGATTCTCTGATTGGCTACGCTACTCACTATCTATTCTGTTGTAGATAGTGAGTAGCCAAGCAGTGTGCGGTTGTTAACAAAATGGCGGCCACTTCTCTGCGTTTTCGAAGTGTCTGTGAAGAGGATTGAGATAAAGTTTTGAACGACTTGTAAATTTATACTAAAACAATTAGATTATTCGCTCTCGATTTCTATGCGTGATAGTTGACTTGGGCTGCGCCCACGTCAACTATAACAGGATAGAAATCTTGAAGTCATAAATAATCTAAAAGTTAAATAGAATTAAGAAAGGAAGAAGAAAGAAGACGAATGCAAATTCAACAAAGAGAAAAAGCAAATGTTACCTCTTTGGCCAATCTTCGTCCTCCTAAAAACGGTGGCCAAAGTCGTTTTACCTCTAAAAGAACATTTTCCAAATATCTATCATCTTGGGCTGCTTTGAGCCGCTTTTCAAGCTGGAAAGTAAATTAACAGCGTCATTACTAACTACAGAATGCAATTTTATTGCTCATCAAGCTTTAACCGTCTCCTCTTACTATTAACAACAAGATCACCGCTATAAGAAATCTGCGCAAGACATTTACGGCTGGAATGAAGTGAAGGATGTCCTAATGAGATTCACACACGCAATGTTCACACTGTTTTAATCATGATAGTTTGCTTAACTTTTGCTACTAACATGTACCTAAGAAAATGTTCTAAAGACATCCTCCAATTTTCTTTTAATAAAGAAGCCATTCTGATTTCAAACAAGACAGATGATTTTATTTATTATTAAGTGAATAAGGTATTTTAATTCTAATTATTGTTTTATTTTTATCTTAGTTATTTTACTATTATAAGCAGGTCCACATACGCCTTTTGGCTGCCGATTCAATATTGTTCATTCAATCTTGTAATTATAAACCTGCTCTAACAAATAAAGGATTGATTGATTGATTGATTGATACCTTCTCTAGTCGACGGCGATCTAAGATTGTTTTAAACAAAGTTGAATCATACTGTTCGTCTGGTAATGAACTAATCAACCAACCACTGGTACCAACTGATTTACCGACCAGTTTTCCTAACAACAACCAACCACATTTAACCAACAGGCTGACACTGAATGAAAGTCTAACTGTTTGACTTCACTCGGTTAGTCCCTTAGTGATTGGTTGAGTCTTTGAGCGAGTGGCTGGTGGATCTTCGTGGTCAGAATAATTGATTCCATTTCGAAGTGACGGACGGACGGACTGGCTGACTGGCTGACTGATTGACTGGCTTACTGAATGACTGATTGACTGATTGACTGATTGACTGATTGACTAATTGACTGATTGACTGGTTGACTGATTATGCCTAACTGACTGACGGACTGACTGGTTGACTGACTGACTGATTATAACTGACGGACTGACTGACTAACTGACTGACTGACTGACCGATCATGACTGACTGACTGATCATGACTGACTGACTGATAATGACTGATGGACGGATGGACTGACTGACTGATTGATCATGACTGACTGACTGACTGACTGACAGACGGACAGAATGACTGACTAACTGACTGACTAACTGATCATGACTGACTGACTGACTGATGGATGGATGAACAGACAGACAGTTGGATTGACTGATTTACTTACATTCTGGGGTTTAGCAAGTTCAATGCAGAAAGATGTCATCAAGGAAGACAAAGCCTTTGGAACCAGAGCAGACACAAATAACAAAATGTGATTTGCCATTTCAGACTTGGACTTAAATTCTGATTCTCTCATAACATTTAGGAACCTAAAAACAAAATAACATTGTCAGTAGTTTAAGGTTAATGTCACATTCAGATTTCAACATTGATATTTTCTGCAACACACCACCGCCCCCTTCAATCAATTTGTCAAGTACATTTTGTGGCTTTTTGTGGTCTTGAAGGATCTTAAAAGATCTTCAGTGACCAGAGCTAAAGATCCTAAAAGACGAGGATCTGTCAATGGTCTCTAAAGCAACTGAGGATGATCCTGAAAACTTCTGAAGATCTTCACCTAGATCTTCATGCAATAAGGTCTTCATGCAGATCCTGAAGGATCTTCAACAGAGGAAATATACAGATCCTTGAAAGAGTTTCACCTGAGAGCAATACAGACTAGACCAAACCTTGCTAAGTTTTAATTTTCAAGGGGCAGGGAGCTTTATTAATGAAAGTATGCTGCTACATTGTTCATGATTCACTCACCCATTTTTCTCCTCTGAAAGACGCTTATTGACAATGGTCAGGAGACGATTCTGTAGGAGAAATACATGTATCAACAATTGTTAAATTAATGACTTTCAGTTCAGATGCTGTAAATATTCAGTGACAGGTTAACTTTTTAACACTACTTGACATGTTTAATCTCTTTTAATTTAATAGACTTTACGAAGAAAACACTGGGTTTGCAAGATCTCCTCCAAGAGTAATCCAAATCCTTCTCAACATAAACCAAGGTCATTCCAATTACAGCCATCCCCGTTGAAACTGTCTGAACCATTTTAGGAAAATGAGAAGGGGTCTGTCATGTCCAATAGCCTGTGGGCTGTGGATTCTGTCTTTCATTTGCCTGACAGACAAGTGAAGTTTCTTGAGAAATGTTGAGGAAATGTATTTACAGAAACACTTTAAGTCTTGATCAATTCTTAAACATAAGCAAGCAAATATTTAAGTTTATAGCCAACGTTTTGGCATCATCGTGACACCATTCTCAAGGCAAAGTAAATAGATTAATGCGAAGATTTGATTTCTATGCTTTACAGTCTCTACAAATTAGCATAATAACAAAGGATCACAAGTTCTTCAACTGAATACCTTTGCGCAAATGGAGTCCATTTGCACGTTTTGAGATAGTTTAAGTTTTCTTATGAAAAGCATCTCCTTAATTAGGCAATCAAATTTGTTCAAGCATTTAGTAGGCACGTGAAATTGGTCTGAAAGACAAGCAGGTACTTTCGAGTTACAATATATAATAAGAGATGAAATATTTTGGGACTAGTGAGAATGATTTTTGGGCTAGTAGTTCCTGAAGTTTCAGCTTGCCCAAGAGGCAAGCCCAAAAATTGGTTTTCTTTACTCCCAGAAGAGCTATTGGACTACCTCCAATAGACTGGTATACAAATTCTAGAATTCATGCACTAATACTTTTTAATTTTTTTAAATACCTTTGCTGCCATTGCCTTGGTATATCCAGACTTATAACCATAAACATTAAAATTCACTGGAACAGATATAAGCCCTTTAAAACAAAGTCATAGATTGTAACATTACTCACAAAATACAGGATAATTGTATATCAAATGGGTATCTAAAAAGAAAACAAACTGTGTAAACTACTGTAAGTGTGACAAGTACGCAGAGGAATATGATGGTGGGTCAGAATTCAGGGGCAAGAGATATATCATTAATCTCTGTTTACTAATCAATTTTATGTGGGCAAGACTAAACACCTGAGTTACATGTAGGTTGTTGTTCTGTACACAGTGATACTGTCTCAGCAGACACTGAATCACTACACTGACATACTTCTGCTCTCTCCCCTAAGATTACAAATGGCTTCTGGCAAACAGTATTAACTGGTATGAAAAATTGGCAAAGATTCATGGAGGGAGAGAATAAAATAGGTTGTGCTTTGTGTAAGCTTCCCAGTATTGCTTCTTAATGTTACCAAATGAATACATCATTCTTATCCACAGAGGCTGCCATCCGTTTGGCAAGCACCAAGAAGTGCAACCTCTAGATCAGGGGCCCATTTCTCGAAGGTCCCGAAAAGTTTTCGCACCCAGAAAGCCATAGAAAAATTTCAAACCTTATGACTACAGGGCTATTTTATTCACATATTCGTAATATTAGTGGTGTAATGATTAATCGAATTCTCGATTAATCGCAATTATGACCGTTCGGTTCGATTCACGATTCTTTGATTCCACGTTTTGATTTTGGTTCGATTTTTTGCATACCTCTCTCAGAGTGCCCTCAGTGAGTTATTATATTGTGAAATTAGAATCCAGAACTCTTTAAAATGTGCGTTTTTGATTGACCAGTAAAGACATTTGCAGTTTGTGCGCCATTTTGTGTTGCGTGGTAAAAATGTTGCCCTTCTAACACCCCTTGAGAATTTCCAAATAAGGCAAATCATGTGCGACACGCTCATTGTATCCTAAAATTCAGGGTTTAGGGTTGTAGGTTGTTTACATTGTGTATCATGTTGTAAGAATTAAAAAAACATTAATATTTTGCACAATCGAATCGAAATAATTGAAATCAAAAAGCAATAATTGAAATTGAATCGAATTGCCAGGAACATGAATTGATACACCCGTACTTACTGTAATATGAACAGAGGTTCCCTTCATACAACAATTTTCAGGTGCACACACCTCTCTGTTTTTTGATACAGATTAACTAAAAATGGCTTTGCAGGTCTGAAAAGTTTTCAGGGCTTTCAAGAAACAGGCCCCTGGCCAGACCCAATTTTTTGAGCATGCACAGAGTACTTATTTTGTACTGTATATTTCTCAGGCTCTTTGATGGAAAGTGTGGTGAATTAAGGACTTCCGTGTTTGAACTGGCCACAGGTCACAATTCTTCGTGCTGAACAAAAGGGTCATGGCCGCTGGAAACGAGAATGCCAGTAAAAGCACTGTAAGGTATCTAGAATGTAAATCCAATAATTTTGCACTTAAAGTTAAAATGCCAATCAGTGTCCAACATTGATTAGAAAGGTGTTACCAGCAACATGTTACAATGAATGTAAAGTAAAATGCATCTGAGTATCTTAAGGGAGTAGTTGAGTCAAAAGCTTCAGACTACTTAAGCACTGAGACAGTTGGGTAAAGCTTATCATTAATTATTAATTGTTATTTTTTTTATCTTGGTCTGCTTACCATGCCAGTGAGTTATTGTAAGTTCAATGATAGATGCAGCTTCTCTTGTTGCAGTTTCCATCTCCACACCCAAAAATAATCGTAAACACATCTCAGTTGTCAGCTGCTTGAACAGTTTATAAGGAATAACAATGTCACCATCTTCAATGCTGTTCAACAACCTAGATGAAACAATCTCCACTTCTCCTATGTAACGAGTCACCTCTTCAGGTCTGAAGACATCATGAAGAACATTTCGCAACCTTATAGCTTCATCGTCACTGTTAAAAATCACTAAGTCACCATACAAACTGTACATGTATCCAAAGTCTTTGTAACTCATGTCTAGCTTGCCTTCCGTGTCTAAAAGTTTTTCAAAAAAAAAAAAAAACTCAAGTTACAATGATATTGATGAAGAAAAACTTTCTATGTACTCAGTTGGGAGAAACAATCTTGACTATTGTGCCTGCTGCCACTTGCGAGGCAGATGGTCCCCACTGAACTGAGTATGACTTTCATGTGTAACTGTTAAATCTGAAATAAGTGAGAAGGATTTACCTATTCTGTGAATTGCTATATGAATGTCATACAAGTTTCTAAGTTTTACAACTATTAGTTATTTTATCTTCACCATGTCTTAAGGTAGGTATTGCTTTTCAAAGCTTAATTTTTTTGTATTTTGATTCATAAATCATTTAATATATAGCCATAGACTCAGCCCTATACACTCATGAGTCTTATAAGAAAGACCCATGAATCAAACATGCATGTTCAGGCAACATTTCACTAATGGAGCCTAGTGATTTGTTTAGATCCTAGCAAAACTTTCATTTCTCTCTTTTCATAAAACAATGTTTATCAGAGTTCTCACCCCCCACAACCCATTAAGTACATGCATGCTACCTTTTTTTTACAAGCTTATGAATTGTATGTTTCTACAAAAGAGGTGTAGCACTACTTTTCTGACAATGATTACTCAGTAATGCCTTACCTTCTAACACCTCCTTGACCCCTTGGTTTGAAGCCACAAACACATGAGGCTTGTTGAGTGTACGCACTAGAAAAATCCTTGAGTTCAATGTGTTGATGTTCTTTTGTAAAAATTCAATTGGATTTCTTGCAAACTCTAATGTCTTGTCACCAGTGACTGGCCAACCCAAACGGCCTGGCAATGATGTCATCAAGGCATATGCTGATTACAGCTTCAGCTGCTGCAGCTAAAAATTAACGTTTTATTATTTCAAAATTTTTACAATATATGTTTAGTCCTAAAGATTTTGTTCCTGATTCTCTTAAATCATGTGTTGTTTATCAGTTTACATGTGCAAGCTGTGGAGCTCATTATATTGGTGAAACCAATAGGCATTTTAACACACATGTTAATGAGCATCTCTTTCTGTGCTTCTAAAGGTTGTAGGGACAAGTGTGATATTTCTTGTTTTAAGATACTCGATCATGCCAGCACTTATTCTCAACTTAAAATAAAAGA